CCCACCCCCCCCCCCCCCCCCCCCCCTCTCTCTCTCTCTCTCTCTCTCTCTCTCTTCCACTTTGCTTCCTGTCAAAAAACTGTCCTATAAAATATAAAAAGGTAAAAAACGGCAAAAATAAATCATCAGGGCTCGCAAAATCGCTAGCCCGACGTCCCGGGCTATTGTGTTTTCCAGTCGGGCTACCAAAATGTATCACCACTCTGCCCGACGGGCTATCTTAAATACAGATCTCCCGCGGGTCCTTAAAAACTCCTAAAGTGAGTTGTATCAAACTTAAGGCCATAAAAAGTTTTAAATACGTTAAATGGTATAAGAAATGTCTTAATTATAATTTAAAGAGGTCTTACAATTGGGGACGGAAAGACAAGAGTCGCGATACGGCTAGATTAAACTTCAAAAGGCAATGATGTCATTGAATAAATATGAGCGCTGCACGTTTCAAGTCAAAATGCACAGAGCTGCTTTCTGTACAGCCGTTACCGGGGAAACCACAATATTTCAGCGCTCCTAAAGCGAAATGAATTTGCATTTCCAATAAGCCTTTCTTGCTGTTTATAGTCAGATCAATGCAAATATCAAATCATGTTTTTACGCAGCAAGAAAATAAAAAAGAAGTTAATGCGCCTTCTAAAAATCTAAACAATTAAGACAGTAATAGCATATTTATACGTTTTAAATTAATTTATATGCTTGATTTATCCCTTTTCATAAAAATGGTCTAATGGCTAAAATGTTGTTGTATAGGATTTTTGTTTTTGTGAAAACCTGTATCTGAACTGTAAATCATATAATTTTATGGCTCAGTACTGCATGTTACCATAGACATTGTCCATTGTGTTCATTTTACTTGTGCAGCTCTTAAAGGGTTAGTTCACCCAAAATGAAAATTATGTCATTAATTACTCACCCTCATGTCGTTTCAAACCCGTAAGATCTTCGTTCATCTTCGGAACACAAATTAAGATATTTTTGATGGAATCTGAGAGCTGTCTGACCCTGCATAGACAGCAACACGTAGCAAGGAGATCGGTAAAATAATCAGTAGTTCAACCACAATTATACGAATCTACGAGAATACTTTTTATGCACAAAAAAAACAACAACAACACTTTATTCAACAATTCGTCTCCTCCGCGTCACCCTGTAGCGCCATTTTGGAGAACATCCGCTGGACGTAAAACAACGTATGCTGTTTACAGGGTGATGCGGAGGAGACGAATTGTTGAATCAAGTCGTTATTTTTTTTTTCTTTTGCAGACAAAAAGTATTCTCGTAGCTTCGTATAATTGCAATTAATGACACAATTTTCATTTTTGGGTGAACTAACCCTTTAAAATGGGTCATAAATTGCCTTACATTCATTTTTAAAAATTCAGCAGATACCCTGTAAATAGTGAAATAAGATGTCCTTCCTTCATATTTGTTGATATTTGTGTATTGAAAATATTTTTGATCGATATTTAAACTCCTATCTGCATTTTCTCTCTCTCTCTCTCTCTCTCTCTCTCTCTCTCTCTCTCTCTCTCTATATATATATATATTTATTTATTTATTTAATTTTATTTAATTTTATTTTAAAGGTCTTTTTTTTATTTGGGCTAGTTAAATTCATTTTCGGGCTACCAAAATTTGAAGAGTACCTGCCCGAAGGGCTACCAGGGATTTTTAAATTTTGCGAGCCCTGAATCTTTAAATAAATAAACACAACAAAAATGACAGCGTGGGAAAGCAGCAGTTAAGAAAGCGTCTGATCATAGCGATGTGGATGTTTGCACCATCTCTGCAATTCGGCACTCCAGTAAAAGTCCATCACGTTATTTATTTAGCACTTTATACAAAACTGCTTTAAAGCAAGCAGCTTTACAGTAATTAAAAATGAAAAACATTGTCAGTGTCTCTTTCAGTTAGAATTACAACTTTTTCAGATTTTCTGCTATAAAGCAGCTCTCCAGTGTGGAGCTAGAATAGAATATTTATAACTCAATATTTGAACTAATTGCAAAAGCTGAATAGTTGATTTAAACCTACTGATTAATCATCGAAATAATATACAATGAGTTGATTAATTGTTCTAATAATCATCAGATTAATCAATTATCAAAATAATATTTTGTTGCGGCCCTAAATCCAGTGCAGCCAATCAGAGCATTTTCGGAGCCGCAGAGCAACACACTAGCAACCAACAAGAGCACAATAGCAACGACATAGCAATGCATAATAAAACCACTCGGAACACTTTAGCAACTGAATAGTAGCACCCTAGCAACCAACAGAAACACCTATCAGCCGCATAGCTATGCAAAACAACCACTAAGAACACGTCAGGCATCACACGCTATCAAAATCTAGGTTTGTTGTAATGTAACCCTCTTCTCCTCTCTGTTTTTCATCATGCAGGTATTTTGTGTTGGACCCTGAGCTCGGCCAGCTTCAGTATTTCATCAACGAGCACAGTAAGAACCAGAAGCCACGAGGGTCCCTGCCCCTCATCGGCTCCTCAGTGGCCCCAAGCGATGAGTTTCCCTATATGTTCACAGTCTGTGCTGCAAATGGAGATTTCTTCAAACTGCGGGGTGAGCGTCTTTCCCTCGTCGGGGTTTCAATCCTTTGCTTTTGCTTTTAACATTGCCATTTGATCCCTTCCATCTCCGTTGTCCTTTAACTTGAGCCTCCTCACACTCTCTCGCGCAACGTCTCTTAAGGAAGTATCTCTTTGATATGTGTTTTTCCCTCAGGCATCCCCCTTTATCTGTGATTTAGTTGTCCACGTTCACTCTTTCTTTCTCGCCAGCAACTCCCTCGTCAGATTAGATCTCTATACTTTCCCCTCTCTCTGTTTCTCTCGTGTCGTTTCAAGTATGCCAGGAGTCTTTTCATGGTTGGCATTCAGTGTATGCCACAATCTTTTATGATGTCTTTTTTTTTTACATCAAAATTCACTTTCGGTCCGAGGCAGCTCTGAGAACTCATTTAGACTGTGTCAGGAGTTTACAAGCAAAATGCCACCAGCCAAATCGGCCATTTGTAACAAAGGCAATCTTGGAGAGGTTGTGAGAGGATGGATTTCGCTGGAAAAAAAGCTGTCACCTCCATCGTTATTCCCAGTAGTTTGACAGCCTTGCCGCGGGCGGAGTCTCGTCCGCTCCCAGTGTTCCAGCATTCTGAAATGATAATCTTCAGGTGCTATTTTTCTCATTTCACACCTTCTCAGTCTTACCCCGGGTTACAGACAAGCCACAAATTGAGTTTTTCGGTCTTGTGATGATAAAAAAAGCTTGCATTTGTTCTACCTGGGTAACCATACCATACCATACCAAATGACCTTAAAACTAGATTTTCATAGGTCATATATATTAAAAAACCCTGTTGGATCTTCTTTAGGCAAGACAGTGCGGAACAGATTTGGGGCTGTTTTGTTTCCATAATCTGACTTCTTTCAGACTAGTGGAAAGAAAACATACACAATACACATAAAAGTGTTTATTTTATTATTGCTTTCTCTGTGTGTTTCTGTAGTTTTTAATTGAAATGCAGATCTTTTGTAGGCCGTTTTCTCAAAATGAGTTTTTTTCTCATGCACAACACCAGAAATCTCCACATCAGTAGCACTTACATGGTGATTTTTTTTCTGGCTGTTGACTGTATTTGATTAAATAAGGAATTAAAATTATGGAGTGATCCCCTCTATAAAATCCCCGCTATAAAAACATTAAAAAAGTCTCTTATGACAAGAGCATTAAACCTGGCTTAATCCAGAGTTCAGATCTTTGTTCTGGAAATGTATGCAAATTCCTGTATATTTAATTAGAAAACACCTATTTTCCATATTTAAACATAACATTTCAGAAAACATGTCTTATTTTACTGTGATTTAATCAACTGGGGATTTAAGGGGATATGTATTAGTTATCTGTTTTTACATTTTAAAATATAATTTACTCAACCTCATGTCTTTCAAAACACATATGCTGTTATTTTTTTCCATGTAACACAAAAACAGAATTCTAAAGAATATTCACAATTTCCAGATAACAGTTTATGGTGACCATGAGCTGTCAAACTCCAGGAAAAAAAGGCATTATAAAACATCGAACTGATCCATATGGAGGGCTGCAGGAGTGAGTCCTAAAACCTATAAACGAGTTTTAAACTTGCAGTTCCATTGTGCTGAAGTTTGGGTTTTTGAATAGGTTTTTAGTTAAATGCATGAAATAAGTCTACATCAATAATACCACTCATGATTTTAAGTGTTTTGACTTGAAAAAGTGGTTGCTAAATGGAACTACAGGTTGTCAGGACATTAAATGTCATCCCGGCAAATTCCTCTATGCTTTAGTACGTTTTTACAGCCTCATGTTTATACTTGCCATTTTGGAAACTAACAAAAATTTTACAACTTGTAGATTTTAAATACAGAAAAAGATTTGTCAGAAACTTAATGATGGGAAAGTTAAGCAAACATGGTGTAGTTTGTTTATAGCCTAACTTAAGCTTTTTTAATTTTGGTGACTATATTTAGGCTTCGGAATTTATAAAAGTTATCTTTATTTGTGAAGATGATCTTGATGGACAAAATGTAAGAATCATAAATGTTTGTCACAGAGCTTATTTTATGCAATAATCCAAAAGCCAATGGAAAAATCCATATCCTAAAATATGTCATCCCTGCAGCACTCTATAAACTTGTGAGCCGAAATTTGACATTATTCACCAAAAGTCATAAAATATGGAACATTTGGTTTCATATTGAATGGTGTTTGATTTCATTGACATCTAACCTGTGATATAAGGATAAAAGAATGTAAACATAAAAAAAAAAAGTTCAAGTAAAATGCATTTCTCATTATATAATCCCTTTAATATGCATGACTATTTATAAGGATTTACCAAACAACTTCATTATTTTTAATGAACATAATCAAATCCATTACGTTTTATGTTATGTTGTGTTGTGTTTATTGAATTAAATTAGCTGTAGATGCAGCATGAATGGATGTGGCCATTTATAGTTCACATGTCTTCTTTTAGCTTCTGATGCGTGTGAGCAGCAGATGTGGATGACCCAGCTTCAGCTGTGCGCCCGTCGCCACTCAGACGGCAGTGCCAAGGTAACCCGGTTACATTTAACTCGGCACACTGTGCTCTCATTTCCTTCCTTTAAATCTTTTTCGTTCCCTCTTGCTTTAGAAAGCAAAATGTTTGTCTTTTGATTGTGTTCACTCTGTCATCAATGATGTACTAACTGTCCTTTCTGTAAGTGCATCTTATCTTGACATCTTTCCTGTCTTTGTCTCTGTCTCTCACATTCTGTGTACTGACTGACTCGCTCTCCATTTCCTCTGACCTCTCCAGACTCTACTTCGATGACAAACTGCTCCTGTAGTCTTGAGATTTGTGATGCTGTTACTCTCTCTGTCTCTTTTCAGTTCATCACACTGCATGTAAGGCTTATTATAACGGGTGGGATTTCAAATGAGGTCATTAGCAAGTTTATACCTGGAAGCCTTGATTTGGCTTAATTGGTAGAGATGTGCTATTACTTTTCTACACAGTTTAGCTTGGTGGATGATAAAACAGGCAAATAAAAGCCATTGACTTACAGTGTACTAAAGGAGAATATATGGGGACCAGAAGATCATAGAGACTTGGCTTGGCAATAAGCAACCACTTTTTCATTTTAGTTTTAGTAATTTTAGTACGTCAACTTACAGTTTTTAAGTTTAAGTTTTATATTCCCTTTTCTTTCAGCTTTCTTTCAGTCAGTGAAAATGATTTTTAATAGTTAACACACTAATAACAACACTGCAGTGCATTTTCTTGAGAAAATGTAAATTTTGACAAAGGGGTGGGTGATATACCGGAAGACACAATTAACTGGTAGAGATTTTCAACTATCGTCTCTATTGCGGTTACAGGCTCACGTGGCATTGCTGTGCAACGTGGTCACAAAAACGTACCATTTACGTGCGTTTTTAAGCAATGCGGTTTAAAAACAAGGGATTTTAAGCCATTGAAATGCAAACGAAAGAGAACTCATTTCGCTATACTTCACTATAGGAGTGCTGTCAGAGAGGCGCGCACATGTGGAGATGGTGCTCATAGAGCGCGGGAGTATTGAACCAAGTTATTTTTGCCACTTTATACGCACACTTGCACTGTATGTGTCAATGCCCGTCTTTGCAATTATCCTTGTAAACACAGTAATTTTAGGTCTTAAGGGAAAGCAAACAGCTGAGAAAGAAAACACATGTAACAGTATATTGGATCCGGGCAACTCTTAAAGTGACAGCAGTCTAATGTTCCTGCTGTCATTCATGTTAATCAAACAACAAAAGAGACAAAATCTCTCACTACTCTTGCCTAAATCACTTTTGTAACTTTAATAAAAGAGAAATATATATTGAATTCACACTGTGAAGAATATGCATTTGTAATTAATAATTTGATTACTTTATACAATGTGTAGCATTTCTTATTTATTTGTTCTACTGTGGTTTTTTTGTGCTATTGCTTGTAATTAGTTTCTTAGTCTTATTTAATCACTGACTGTTTACTTGTCTTCAGTGAGCGTGAGTTTGTTTGTTTTTTAATTTAGGTTAGTAATTTTTTTTGTGATATTGAAACTGGTGACTATAGCATTTTAAAATTTCTATGGTATCAAACATTTTGGTATTATAAAGACTTTATTTAAAGCAAAAATAACTATATTGTGATATATATATTGTTACCGTGCAATAAAATCACTCATACCGTGATATAAGATTTTGGTCACATTGCCCAACCCTATTTTGACCTTATAATCATGCACATTTGTACAGACTTGCTAGTGTTAGCCACAGTTTTAATTATGGTTATTATAATTCATTGAGCAATAAAATAAGTAGCTGTATGGAGGCATATGATCTATACATGTGACAGCTCACCTGACATGATCATATACTGTAAGCGTGGTCTTATTTCTCTTTTCTATCCACATAGCATGGTTTATCTTTTTCCAAAAGTATAAACAATAGTTTGATACTGATTGGAGAAACAGTGTGTCAGTTCACTTATCATGTGACAAAAACACACTGCGTGTCACACGCTGTTTCCCACTGTTGTCTGACTCTGAACACTCCGTGAGTTAAACTTTAAGCATTTCACCTCCATTAAGACATGTCATTAAATCATGCCTCAAGATGCATAATGTTTGTTTTGCTCCCTGAAAGAGATTCAAATGGATGTTTAAATGCAGTAATATGCATTCGGTAGACTGTTTTAGGCAGATGGTGTTGTGTCCAATTATTTATTGTAATTTTCAGCGCAGAGTGGCAGAATAATGATAACTTTAGTCAGATCTGAAAATGAGTGTTTACAAATGGGAGAGACCGGCGTTATCCACTAATTTAGAGCGCGGATTTAATGGAAATGAATTTAGCCTTGAGGCTAAAACATTGTATGACTTCTATTAGCATTCATTTTCAATATATGACCAACAAATGGCAGTCTAATAACACAAGCCAGTGTTAGCTGCTAATGTATTCTTAAAAAAAGGAAAAACCTTGCAGTCTCTTTGATTAATCACATTATAAGCAAAGTAATTTGAAACCACACAAATCTGGGCCTGGACTTTGGCCTAAGGCCAAATATATTACATTACCAGTGTGTTATATTTATTCATTTAAAGACTGAATCCATAATGCATGCAACAGATGCTTCATGTATTCTCTACACTTGGTGTGCTTATTTTTTATTTAATTTTTTAACATAACTCTGAAAGTTAGTGTATGTATTTTATTATTCACTGCACTGATTGCCTGCTGCAGTGTTAGCAGAGTATTATCAGGTGTTTTGTGAAGGTCCATTATTTGTTTCTTTCTACTTTAAATAAATTGTATTTTTGAAAGAAATTTTTGAAAGAAAACTTTGATTCAGCAAGGATGCACTAAACTGAACAAAAAGTGACAGTAAAGACATTTACATTGTTACAGAAGATTTACTTTTCAAATACATGCTGTTCTTTTTCCTCTTTTCTGTTAATCAAAGAATCCTGCATTTTTTTAAAATAATGTTTAAACAAAAATACTGAAACAAAAATGTGTCTGTTTTCACCATTAATAATAATAATAATATTTTTTAAACACCAAATCAGTATATTAGAATGATTTCTGAAGGATCACGTGATACTGGAGACTGGAGTAATGGCTGCTGAAAATTCACCACAGGAATAAATGACATTTTAAAATATATTAAAACAGAAAACAGTTAATTTTAAATTGTAATATTATTGTACAATATTAAAATTTGACTGTATTTATCAAATAAATGCCACCTTAGTCAGCATTATATATACATTATAGCTTTGTATACATTTATATGTATATATGTATATGTATATTCTCTCTAAATATCAGAATTTGAATTCAAATTTCCCGATATGTGCTGTTCTATTGGTGCATTCAAGTCATGTTGGATAGATCGTATTTACGAGTTGAACGCACATGAATGCCACCACAAAGTCGTTATTACGAGTGGGAAACTCGAAATTTTCTTTAAGCCCCGAGTTTCCGAGTTGGGGGCGTGTCAATGAGAAAACGTGTCGGATGCATGGAATCCAAAGACTAGATGTGCAGCATCTGTATTGATGGTAAATTTGTTGAAATTAATAAAATGATTAAAATAAAACTATATGTTACATATACAAAATATTATATTATTGTATAATTACCAAAGAACATATAATGATTCAGTTTACATTACCTTCATAAATGGAATAAAAACAGAAAAAAGCAAAAACACAATGACGCACATTCTTCATCATATTCATCATTTTGTAGATGTAAAGTTGAAAAAAATCGTTGAATTTTATGGAAAAAAAATAAAATCGCCACATTGTTCCGAGCAAAGTGACTTGAACGCACCTGACGTCGTTATTACGACTTGTCAACTCGTAAGTACGAACGTCCCAGGAGGACTTGAACGCAGCATATGAACATCCCTACTATAAGGGGTTCTAAGGGTCTGTATAATCTAAAGAGAAATATATATTGAATTCACACTGTGAAGAATATGCATTTGTAATTAATAATTTGATTACTTTATACAATGTGTAGCATTTCTTATTTATTTGTTCTACTGTGGTTTTTTTGTGCTATTGCTTGTAATTAGTTTCTTAGTCTTATTTAATCACTGACTGTTTACTTGTCTTCAGTGAGCGTGAGTTTGTTTGTTTTTTAATTTAGGTTAGTAATTTTTTTTGTGATATTGAAACTGGTGACTATAGCATTTTAAAATTTCTATGGTATCAAACATTTTGGTATTATAAAGACTTTATTTAAAGCAAAAATAACTATATTGTGATATATATATTGTTACCGTGCAATAAAATCACTCATACCGTGATATAAGATTTTGGTCACATTGCCCAACCCTATTTTGACCTTATAATCATGCACATTTGTACAGACTTGCTAGTGTTAGCCACAGTTTTAATTATGGTTATTATAATTCATTGAGCAATAAAATAAGTAGCTGTATGGAGGCATATGATCTATACATGTGACAGCTCACCTGACATGATCATATACTGTAAGCGTGGTCTTATTTCTCTTTTCTATCCACATAGCATGGTTTATCTTTTTCCAAAAGTATAAACAATAGTTTGATACTGATTGGAGAAACAGTGTGTCAGTTCACTTATCATGTGACAAAAACACACTGCGTGTCACACGCTGTTTCCCACTGTTGTCTGACTCTGAACACTCCGTGAGTTAAACTTTAAGCATTTCACCTCCATTAAGACATGTCATTAAATCATGCCTCAAGATGCATAATGTTTGTTTTGCTCCCTGAAAGAGATTCAAATGGATGTTTAAATGCAGTAATATGCATTCGGTAGACTGTTTTAGGCAGATGGTGTTGTGTCCAATTATTTATTGTAATTTTCAGCGCAGAGTGGCAGAATAATGATAACTTTAGTCAGATCTGAAAATGAGTGTTTACAAATGGGAGAGACCGGCGTTATCCACTAATTTAGAGCGCGGATTTAATGGAAATGAATTTAGCCTTGAGGCTAAAACATTGTATGACTTCTATTAGCATTCATTTTCAATATATGACCAACAAATGGCAGTCTAATAACACAAGCCAGTGTTAGCTGCTAATGTATTCTTAAAAAAAGGAAAAACCTTGCAGTCTCTTTGATTAATCACATTATAAGCAAAGTAATTTGAAACCACACAAATCTGGGCCTGGACTTTGGCCTAAGGCCAAATATATTACATTACCAGTGTGTTATATTTATTCATTTAAAGACTGAATCCATAATGCATGCAACAGATGCTTCATGTATTCTCTACACTTGGTGTGCTTATTTTTTATTTAATTTTTTAACATAACTCTGAAAGTTAGTGTATGTATTTTATTATTCACTGCACTGATTGCCTGCTGCAGTGTTAGCAGAGTATTATCAGGTGTTTTGTGAAGGTCCATTATTTGTTTCTTTCTACTTTAAATAAATTGTATTTTTGAAAGAAATTTTTGAAAGAAAACTTTGATTCAGCAAGGATGCACTAAACTGAACAAAAAGTGACAGTAAAGACATTTACATTGTTACAGAAGATTTACTTTTCAAATACATGCTGTTCTTTTTCCTCTTTTCTGTTAATCAAAGAATCCTGCATTTTTTTAAAATAATGTTTAAACAAAAATACTGAAACAAAAATGTGTCTGTTTTCACCATTAATAATAATAATAATATTTTTTAAACACCAAATCAGTATATTAGAATGATTTCTGAAGGATCACGTGATACTGGAGACTGGAGTAATGGCTGCTGAAAATTCACCACAGGAATAAATGACATTTTAAAATATATTAAAACAGAAAACAGTTAATTTTAAATTGTAATATTATTGTACAATATTAAAATTTGACTGTATTTATCAAATAAATGCCACCTTAGTCAGCATTATATATACATTATAGCTTTGTATACATTTATATGTATATATGTATATGTATATTCTCTCTAAATATCAGAATTTGAATTCAAATTTCCCGATATGTGCTGTTCTATTGGTGCATTCAAGTCATGTTGGATAGATCGTATTTACGAGTTGAACGCACATGAATGCCACCACAAAGTCGTTATTACGAGTGGGAAACTCGAAATTTTCTTTAAGCCCCGAGTTTCCGAGTTGGGGGCGTGTCAATGAGAAAACGTGTCGGATGCATGGAATCCAAAGACTAGATGTGCAGCATCTGTATTGATGGTAAATTTGTTGAAATTAATAAAATGATTAAAATAAAACTATATGTTACATATACAAAATATTATATTATTGTATAATTACCAAAGAACATATAATGATTCAGTTTACATTACCTTCATAAATGGAATAAAAACAGAAAAAAGCAAAAACACAATGACGCACATTCTTCATCATATTCATCATTTTGTAGATGTAAAGTTGAAAAAAATCGTTGAATTTTATGGAAAAAAAATAAAATCGCCACATTGTTCCGAGCAAAGTGACTTGAACGCACCTGACGTCGTTATTACGACTTGTCAACTCGTAAGTACGAACGTCCCAGGAGGACTTGAACGCAGCATATGAACATCCCTACTATAAGGGGTTCTAAGGGTCTGTATAATCTATGACTTATGTAACCGGGTAGTCAGTGCTAAAATCTCATATGACTGAACAATGAACTGCCATTAGACTGCGAGAATGCAATTACATGAGGTTGGGGGAACTCCATCGGACCTGAATAAAATACTCATTGCCGCATGTACAGAAAACCTCATAGTGTGGTCTCATTTTGGGTCATATCAAAGAGTGCGATCTTCCTTCAAGCCTAAGAGTCTGTTTAGCAGCACCCAGGGGAGCAATGTTCTCTTGCATTTCTCAAGAATGCACAGGTGCTGTTGCTTTTTTTTTTACCTAAATACATCCTCCTCTGTTTGTTTGATATGAATCATTTTTATATAGAGCATGACTTTGGGAATGTTGCTGTTCTGAGACTGATTTCTATGTTTTTTTGGCAACTCGGATCTTCTTATAGGTGTTTGCTAAGGCCAGTATGCTGATTTAGTGCTCAAAAAACATTTCTTATTATTCATTATTTTATCAATGTTTACAAGTTGTGCTGCTTAATATTTTTGTGGAAACTGATAAAATTTTTCAGGATTTTTTTTTGTGTGTTTTTAAATGTATTTTCTGTCGCTTTCAAATGTAATGCTGAATAAAAGTATCAATTTCTTAAAAAAAAAAAATAAATCAGTCTCCATTAAAGAATAGACCTGAACTACAGTGGTGGCCAAAATTATTAGAACACCTGACAGATCTGAAAATATTGACCTTTTTTGCCTCCAAAACATGATTTCATTTCATAATGTTCATGAAACATGCAGATGGTTGCTCTGAGCACAACAGATATCAGATGAAGTGAGTCGTGCTGTTTTTATCCACTTTTAACTTTAGTATTTGGTATGTCCACCTTTTGCAGCACATCTTTCTGGCATAGTGTCAGAATGTTATCCCATGCCTTCTGCCAATGTTATCCCTAATGATATCCCATGCCTTCTGCAACTCAAGCCATAGGCTTTCCTTTGAATGTACAATAGATCTGTCCAGTTTATTTTCCAACTCGCCCCAAATTTGCTCGATGGGGTTGAGGTCTGGACTTTGAGGGGGCCAGTCCATCATTTTCAATGTTCCAGCAGATTCCTTCCATCGCAGGTAGTTCCGGCAATAGTTCGTTTTATGGGTATTGCAATGACCATTTCAACGAAAACAACTGAAACCTCTTAAATATGACAAGTGCTCTAATAATTTTGCCCATCACTGTATGTCTAGGAATGAGATTGAGAATATTATACAAATATAAGCTTTGTGCTCTTCAGCCAGTAACCAGTCTTCCATGACACCCCAGAAACTATGTAGCTGTGTGGTAAAAAAAAAAAACACCCGAAACTCCACAGAAATATGGAAGAAAGTTTTGCAGTCTTAAAAAAAAAACTATAAATCTAGTTAGACTTGTGATTTTTGTAAAAGCATGCATTAGACACTTGCTTTTGTGCATTTTTCATCAGCAGTGCACTAAATGCTTTGTGAATCACAGACAAATGATGTCTCTGATTAGCTGTGATGGAATGAGATTGCAGTTCTCAGGTTGTGCTGAAGAGCTTTTAGAGATGAAAGCATTTCAAACGAGTGACAACCTTTATCTCTCTGCTGTGGAGAACAGTACTCCACAGGAAGCTCTCTCCTCCTCCCTCTGCCGTCTCATATTGCACTTTTTTCCCACCATGCACTGTCCTTGCTTCCTCTCCCCCTCCCTGTCTGTATGTGGCTGCTGTCTTGGTGGTGTCAGGCCGATGATGCTCTTTTGCGTGATGGCAGACCGTGCTGGCGGCACAGGGCCGGTGTCTGTTCCCATGGGGAAGCGAGGCCTGGGCGCCTGCTCTCCCTCTTCCTCCTGCTGCTGCCATTGCTGCTATCTCTTTCAGGGCTGCACCTCCTCCTCCTGCAACACATCCTCTTCCTCCTCCACTGGCCGGACCCGCAGCTTCTCCCTGCACCCGCACCCCATCCCACAGTGCTCCTCCATCTCCGCCCAAAGACAGACCCCCCAGCACGGGACACCTGCCTCTGTCATCACCATCACCCACCACAAGTCTCCCACCGCCAGCCAACGGGCCTGCAGTCAGCATCCTGCAGGACTGCACCAGGTCAAAGAGGTACGGACAGAGCCAGCTAGCCACTGTTATTAAACACACGGACGTTTCGCAGTGTCTGTCAAGGTTTTTTATTTGATTTAACTCTTTGATGCAAATTTAGGATTTTTTTTGGGCCTGTCAGTATTTTCATTAGTCACACCATAGTTATTATTAATTTTATTTTTAGCAACATAAATTTATTAAATTTTATGCCAAAAATCATTAGGATGTTAAGTAAAGATCATGTTCCATGAAGATATTTTGTAAATTTCCTACCATAAATATATCAAAACTTAATTTTTGATTAGTAATATGCATTGCTAGGAACTTCATTTGGGCAACTTTAAAGGTGATTTTCTCAATATTTTGATTTTTTTGCATCAGATTCCAGATTTTCAAATAGTTGTATGTCGGCCAAATATTGTCCTATCCTAACAAACCATACATCAATGGAAAGTTTATTTATTCAGCTTTCAGCTGATGTATAAATCCGAAAAATTTACCCTTATGACTGGTTTTAATGGTCCAGGGTCATATATTATATATTATATTATATTTTAACTTGCTTTATATATTTTATATATTTTATTTATATGTAACGTTATATCTAATTTTATATTATATGCTTGTTTTTTATATTATATGCATTTTCCTATAAATGTTACATTGTAGTTACATACAACTTTTATTGGATTGCTCCTTTGTTAATTTAAGATTTATTTTTAGCAACATGTTTCTATAAAAGTGAGAAATTATACATATACTACAACACACACACACACACTATATAGTTCAGTCATGAAACTCTAGATGGCGCAGGCTGACGGGTTGTTCATGTAACTGATGATATTCAGAGAGTTAAACGACTTGGCACAAGCTGATTGGTTAGTGCTGCATATGCAGCCAATGAGCTTACTGCCTTGCATGAATATGGCTGGCTAGCATTCACTAGAGATTCCTGCAGCGCGCTGTCAGAGTTTCTCTGAATCTAAACAGCTAAGATAAGTAAACGGTCTTCACTCTGATTCACTGGATTATTGCGTTCGTCAGATTTACATTTTTAAACTAGAAAACATACAAGTTGTAAAACTACGCGCAGGTTATTCGCATGAGGAGTAATTACTAAGCATGTCTTGTTCATATAACAGCAGTAGCATTAGCAGCAAGCAGTTTTCCGAGTTCATGTATGTGAGAATACAACGTCAAGCATCGTGGATATAGAATAGTAAAGTGAATTGGGGATTACCTTATTTGCTCGAAATCGCCAGTACTTTTGATATCTTATGTGGGCATTCATTTCTACATTAACCGTGAACGGATCGCTTTCAGATGCACACCTCACTAGTGGGGTCGGTTTGCAGTTGGCGTTTCACAGTTGTTCACAGTTTAAGTCAAGGTGAACCCATATAAATGTCTTTCATAAACGTCATACTGTCAACAGCCTTACCTATTTAACCATAACAACTTAATGAGCAGCAGAAAATAATATACCCGCTCATACGAGTACCCGTGCCGCATTGCAATGCGCTCAGAAGAGGTAGCACTCATTCTTAAAGAGGCCACATCTCTATTTCACTCGTTACCTTGGTTCAGTGATAGTGAAGAGTTTATAATGAAAGTCATGTTTAGTGATAGTTTAAAGATAATCATGAATTAGTTTAAAATATAAAGATACTACTAATAATAAATAATTTCCAATCAGTAGCCCATGTACAATGTAGCTAATAGTAGGACACTCTTAAACTGGGATTTACTATTTGTGTATTCAGTTGGGCTTACAGCAATTATAGTACTTTCATAGAGTGTAGCAGCAGTATCATTGAATTCAGATTTCATTATTATCGCATTTTTAATAGCAGTATGCATAGCAAATCAAGTCAAATTATCACTGTTGTTTATAGCAGCAGCAGCAGAAAGTATCTGGTTGCATGAAATTTCAGTGACAACACATGGGGTAAGTAACTCTTTAAAATTGAAATAGGCTTTTATTACTTTGTTTATTTAACAGGGCGTACGAGATTTTGTGAATTCTTCAAAGCGAAATAGGCATTATTTGTTTGCGTTTCATTGTTTAATAAAGACTCTTAGTAATTCTAAGTACCTTCGTGCAGCTGTAACAGCAGTATGCATAGCTATTCAGATCAACAATTTTTTGTGAATTTAATATCAGCAGAATGGCATAGCAAATTCAGATGCAATGTTAGAAATAATAATAGCAGCAGTCTGCATAGCAACCAATTATTATTGCTAATATAGCAGGGGCAGCAGAAAGTACTTTAGTTGCATGAAATTTAAGTGATATCAGTGACAATGCATGGATGGGCTACAGCAATTCTAGTACTTTCATGGAGCGTAGCAGCAGTATTCATAGAATCAGATTGCATTATTAGTGAATTATTAATAGCAGCATGCATAGCAAATCAAAACATGCGTTTAGTTGCAGCAGCAGTAGGTAGACCGTAGTTTACATTCACATTTATTCATTTTGCAGACACTTTTATCCAAAGCAACTTACAATTGCTGAAGTTTCAGTGACTAAAAATGGATGGTATGTGAACTCCTCAAGCGAATAGGCATCACTTGCATTTCATTTATTTAAAAGAGGCTTAGCAATTAGAAGTACCTTTGTGCAGCAGTATGCATAGTTATTCAGATTGCATGTAGCGAATTTAATAGCAGCAGCATGCATAGCAAATTCATATGTAATGTTAGAAATAATATTAGCGGCAGGAAGTCAAATTGTTGCTAATATAGCAGCGGCAGCAGAAAGTACTTTAGTTGCTTGAAATTTCAGTGATAACGCATGGGGTAAGTAACTCTTTTAAGTGAAATAGGCATTTTATTCCTTTGCTATTTAGCAGGGCTTATAGAAGATTTTGTGAACTCTTCAAAGCGAAATAGGCATTATTTGATTGCGTTTTCTTGTTAATAAAGATGCTTATAGCAATTTTAAGTACATTTGTGCAGCTGTAGCAGCAGTATGCATAGCTATTCAGATCGCTAGTTTAGTGAATTTTAATAACAGCAGCACGCATGACAAAATTCAGAAGCAATGTTAGAAATATTAGCAGCACTCTGCATGGCAATCCAATTATCATTGTTGCTTATATAGCAGCGGGAACAGAAAGTACATTTAGTTGCATGAAATTTCAGTGATAAGATAACGCTTGGATGGTAGTGAACTTTT